TTTGTATGTTATTTGTTTTTTCTCTTCTTACAGCCTTTAATATTCTTTCTGTATTCTCTGTGGTTGTTGTTTTAATGATAATATGTCATTGGTAGTTCTATTTTGGTTAAGTCTGTTTGGTATGCTGGAGGCTTCCTCTACCTGAATGGCCATAACTTTCTCTAGATTTGGGAAATTTTCTGTTATTATTTTATTGAATATATTAAGAATCACTTTTGCTTGGACCTTTTTTCCTTTTTCAATGCCCATGATTCTCAGGTTTGGTCTTTCTATGGAATCTGTGAGTTCTTACATATTCCTTTCACAGGACTGAGTGTTTGACTAACAGCTCTTGACTTTTTGTTTTAATTTCCATTTTATCTTCAAGTTCTGAGGTTCTCCTTCCACTTGTTATAGTTTCATGTGTGGCCTCCATGTGTTTGTATTTCTGTTTCATTCTTTTTTCTGAGGTTTTCCATATCATGGATCACTTCCTCTTTAATATTGTCTATTTTCATCTTTATTTAATTTATATCTCTATCTATAGTGTTCTCTGTTTCACTTTGGTATTTATTTAGGGCTCCTCCTATGAGTCATTTATTTGTTTCAGTGTCTTCTCATAGCCTTTATTTTTGATGTTTTGAAATTTCTTGAGTGCCTCTTGTACATTTTGTTTAAATTTGTCTTGTGTCATCTCTATTAATTTCTCAGTGATTATTTGGAAGATTTCTTCTTTGAGGTTGTTCTTGTGGACATCAATGGGTTCCTTGGTGTCATTTATCTTTGTTTTGTTGGAGTCTGGATCTGGGTATCCATTTTCTTCATTTCCTTCTCAATCCTGCATTAATTTTTTTTTGATGAAAATGGTTTCCATTTTTCTTCCCATAGCTCCAGGTTGTACTGTGCAACCATGTTTTTCATAGCCAAATTGGTGGTTTCAGTCACCTGTTTTCTTTCCCTTGATTTAATTTTGTTTTGTGACTGTCTTGGGTGTTTAGCTAAGTGTGTGTGTGCTATTTCTCTCCCTGGTCTGGGTGTAATTTAGTGTTAACTAATTCATCATTTTAATACTCAACCAGTAGTTTATGTGCTATATACAAGATCCCTTGGTGGTAATATCTTTAAGCAGTGAGAGTTGGGTGGTTAACATTTGTAATGCTAGCTATAGAAATTTGGGGAGTTGGAAAGGGTGGCAAGAAGGTGAAGATGGGAAGTAGGGTGGATGATTGGGGAAATCAGTGTGGGGGCTGCTGTTTTTGTAGCCCTTGTGTGTGTTTGGGTATATTTCTGTTGTTGTAGAAGAGGGTGTTTGTGTTAGGGATTGCAAGAGTTTGGATTGCATAAAGTTGGTAGAGTATGTTGTTCAGTGGGCGATGAGTGTGAGGAAGGGAAGGGTAGTCTGGTTGGGGGAGAATGGGAGGGGAAGGTGAGGACTGGGGGAAGAGAGTAGGTGAGAGGGGGCAGAAAGAGTTGTTGGAGAGGGGAGCAATGGGTTTTTAGCACAGGAGAAGGATAGGGAGTGAAGGGGGTGAGAGTAGAGATGAAGGATGATGATAGTCAAGTTGATAGTATAGAAAGAGAAAAGAAAAAAAGACAATAGAAGTTAAAGCAAAAATAGAAAACCCACAATAATAAAACTAACAAACAAAACAAAACAAAAACCCCTAAATAAAATCCTGTTACTTCCCCCATCATTTGATCATTCACTTATGCAGTTTTGTATTCATTTGTAATCAAATCCTCTTTGGTTAAAGAGAAAATAATTGTGATTTTTTTCCCACCCTTGGTGTTTTAGGTTTCCTGAAGACATTAAAGTGTGAATATAGCTATCCCTCAATGTCCATGGAAAAATTCCTGCAATGTGAATTATCTATCAAAGACAATAAGTTAGTATTGTTCCTGGTAGTTAAAGAAAAACAGTAACAACTTACACATAATTCTAAGATTCACCCAACCACATCTTTTAAACATTACCTTTTTTGGAAATATGAGATTGATGATCAATTATAAATATATTATTTTCACCTCATTGGTTAAGTTTTTATAACACTTTGATTAACCTTTATCTAATGGATAACAGATTATTATCCAGAATGTACAAAGACCTCAAAAAAGATAAACAGCAAAAGAACAAATAATCCAACTAATAAATGGGCAAATGAATTGAGCAGAAAGTTATCAGAAGTACAAATGGCTAATAAATACATGCAGAAATATTCAACATCCTTAGTCATAATGGAAATGCAAGTCAAAGCTACACTAAGATTCCATCTCACCCCAGTCATACTGGCAATGATGAAAACAGATGCTGGCAAGGACGAGGGGAAAAGGAATGCTCGTACTCTATTGGTGGGAATATAAACTAGTGCAATCACTATGGAAGCTTTCTAAAACCTTAAAGTAGACCTACCTTATGACTCTGTTGTACCACTCTTGGACGTATATCTGAAGAAGTACAAGTCAGTATCCAAGAGAGATACCATTATACCCATGTTTGTTGCAGCTCTGTTAACAATTGCCAAACTGTGGGATCAGCTGAGGTGCCCAACAACTAGTGAATGGATAAAGAATGTCATATATATATATATATGTATATATATATGTATATACATATATAATGGAATATTATTCAGCCATAAAGAAAATGAAATTATGTCATTTGTAGGAAAATGGTTGGAAAGGGGTATCATCACTTTGAATGACCTTGAAAAGACAAATATCTTATGTTCTTAGATCTAGGTTAGACCTAAGATGATTAAGATGATAATGATGATAATGATGATATAATAATAATAAGACATGAATGTAAAAGGGGCACTGTCTAATGGGAGATGAGAGGAGGGGGAAGGAATGGGCACTGATGGGTGAAGAACATTGAAGTACACTACATATATACAGACACATATGTGTATATGTGAAGACAACATAATGAAACCCAATAAACACTTTGAAAAAGGTGGGAGCAGTCGGGAATAGTAATGTAATAGAGGGGGTTAAGTTCAATGTACACTGTATGCATGTATGGAATTATCACAATGAAATCCCCTTATATTATTAATGTATGCCAATTCAATAATAAAATTAAAAATGAATGTTTATTTATCTATAATCTTATCCTACTACATTTCATAGACTAATATTTTCATTCACTCATTCCACTTCCATTACAATTTTTGGATGTATTTTACATGAGGAAGATTGTGAATATAGTCATGAGTTAAGAGGCTTGCAAGTATTTTAGGGGTGATAATACATAATAGTTAAGCAAAAATTAACATGCAGTTTGGGTTGGTGGATCTAGCTGGTAATTCCAGCTATGGAGGAGGAGGAAGTAGGAGCAGAATGGTTTGAGGCAAGAAGGGCAAAAAGTTAGTGATTCCCTATCTCAAAGAACAAGCTGGTGCACACCTGTAATACCAGCTACACTAGAGGAAAAGGTAGGAGGTTTGTGGTCTGAGGGTGGTCTTGAGGCAAAAAGTGTAAGACTATTTGTGAAAAATAATTAGATTAAAAAAGGCTAGGGCTTTGGTTCAAGTGGAACAGCAGCTGCCTAGCAAGCAGGAGGCCCTTAGTTCAAGACATAAGTGCCACCAAAAAATTTACATACCGACAGCACTTAATGATCTTCAAAGCATGAATTACTGCGACCACACCCTTTGACACAAGCAGAACATAGCTATACTATGTGGATGTAGAAGCCAAGTCTCAGACTTTCCTAACTTTACTCTGCTAGTTGGTAGCGTAGGTAGGACATGAATCCAGTGCATTGTGCTGACACTCTTCCAAAAGTTGCAAAAATGTGTTGAAAGTGATAATTCCAATGAATTGTTCCATCAACGATTACAAGATTTTTGAGAAAAGGAATTTTAGGCTGGAAAGATGAAAAGCAGCTTCTTAAAGGAGAGGATATTGGAGCTGGGGCTCTAAGTTCTTCCCAACTGTGGTCCACAGTACCCAGAGTATGATTTCACTGTGGAGCTGAGGAGGTTCTACTGTGGAAGAGTTTCCCCAGAGCAACCTTCATATCCTGGTTTCTCAGACTGTAGATGAAAGGGTTTAACATTGGGGTCACTGCCATATACATCACAGTTATCACTGCATCTTTCAGACTGTAACTGGTGAGAGGTCTGAAATATGTGACCATGACTGTTCCATAATATAAAGAAACCACTGTCAGGTGAGAACCACAGGTGTTGAAGGCTTTGATTGTTCCTTTAGTGCATGGAAGTTGTAAGACTGTGGTGAAGACCTGAACATAGGAGACAAGGATGCAAAGCAAAGGCACAGAGAAAACACCAACTCCCAGATACATCATCTTCACATTAAAGTGGATGTCAGAACAGGACAGCTTGAGCAAAGGGGTAATGTCACAGTAGAAGTTGGCTACTTCCTTGTTTCCACAGAAGGACAGATGAGCTGTGAGCAGAGTGTGGGGAAGGGCATTGGCATTTCCAACCACCCAAGACCCAACAACCAGTAAGACACAAAGCCGGGAGCTCATAAATGATGTGTAATGAAGTGGGTGGCTGATGGCCACGGCTCTATCAATTGCCATTGCAGCCAATATATAGCTGTCTGTGTTACCCAAGCCTATCATGAAATACATCTGTGTTAGGCATCCCCCGAAAGAGATGGCTTTGCTACTCATGAGATGGTTGACCAATGTCTTGGGGATGGTTACAGATGAGAAGAAGATGTCAACAAGGGAGAGATTTGCAAGGAAGAAATACATGGGATTGTGAAGACGAACATCAGAGAGAATGGCTAGGATGATGAGCATGTTTCCAATTAATGTGATGGGATAAATGAACAGAAAGAGGAAGGAGAAGAAATTTTCCTTTTCCTGATGTCCAGTAATTCCTAAGAGGATGAAATCTGTGGTGAAAGACTGGTTTTCTTCTCTCATGACTCCTTCAGCATGAAAAGGGAAAGGAATCCAAAATTATTAGTACAGTTATTGTGTGTTATGATCATCCACATTCTCCATTTTGACTCCAGTTATCATCTGTCTAAATAACTGGTTGTATGAAATCCAGAGGCACTCCATAGTTTGGGAAAATTCCTTTTTGGTCACTGAGACTAATTATCATCTATCCCTGGAAACTCATGACTAAGAGTGAGAAATAATATATGAATCAGAAGTACTTATCCTCCCCATTAACATCCCATATAAATACATAGGATTTAACCATTTCATAATAAAGTTCATCTTCCATCACATAGAGTATTTGTTATGCTTTGTGGAGAAATCATAAATGTGTGATTAATATAGTTTTTCATCCATTCATTCTACATATAAGACATAGACCTGCTCTCATCACCTTATAATTTCATGGAGAATCTAGAATCACCACCAGTTTTAGTGTACATGATAAGGCAAAGACAGTTTTTGGAGAATTTGACAAAGTGTTCCAGGGCAGAGTGTGCTTTAATGGAAAGACTGGCCTGGAAGTTTGAATTGTTTCACTGACCAAACATAGAATGATATCAGAACCTAGGAGATGACAGGTATCTACACTGGCATTGGAAGATTGTAAGTCACAAGGATCACTGGATTTAGGTACTACCAAGGTGAGCCCAGTGAACTTTCTCCCCATGTGCCCCATTTGCAAAGTGATTTGTCACCACTGAGTTTTAGGCTTTATTGTTTTGACAAATTCTCAGATATAATACAGAATCATAATGCTCTTTATGTCTCTCTTACTGTTTTTAGTTACTTGTTTAGGTGACTCATACAACTCATAGTAGCTGTAACTCATGCTTATTAAATTTCTGTAGGCTTGATGTATTTTCCCCATATTTCCATATTCAGGAATTCTGTCAACATGATTGACTAAGCCCCGTACAGTGTAAATCCAGCCTAAGATTGCAAGATTTTCCAGGAGAGGAAAGCTATATATTGTTTTTTAAAAACTCTTGTAGATGGGTTATTGTGGAGTATTGTTCATTTAATGCATCAATCACTTTGCCTGAAATGTTTCTTTAATTGACTCTGGTTTATTTCTTTTATGTGACGTTTGTAAGCACAATCACCCAATTTGTTTCTTGTCTGTACATAATCTGTTCTTGGTGAGTCTTCATGTAACAATTAGTACATAACTCACACATTCTACTTACTTCTCAGTGCTCTAGCTTAGACTATCAGAGTTTTCTATCTGAAATATTGCAATACTCCCATAACTGTTCGTTACAGGTTCCCTCATCTTAGATCCATGATGCAATGAAGGCATACTAAATATGGCAGAGACTAGTAGCTGTGTGTTCAAATACAAGCTGTTCATTTTTTTCTTGGACACTCAAAGTACATTTCCCAGTCTCCCTTGTAGTGAGGTGTGCTCACGTGACTTAGTTTTAGTCAATTCACTTATGCATTCCAGTTTTGGACCTGTTCCACTCTATGCACATATCCAGGAAGCTGAATGGGAAAATGGAGTGACATGGTGAGCTGAACTTGTATCCCTAGTTCTCCACATCCAGAAGAGCTACTCGCCACAAGACTACCCAGCCAGACTCTTACACAGGAAAGACTCTTTAAGTTATTTTGTATTTTGTGATCAATTTGCTACAGTAGTCTGAAATAGATAATTTTTCTGACATAACTTCTAATCAGGACTTAATGAAATCTGCAATTAATTCAATCACCAAATTCTCCCTGTCTCTGTAGTACATAAGTGAATTATATACGTGGCATAGGGGAAGTAAGTCTAATTATCTTTATTATATCTAATCAATGTTCTTTCTTTTCTTTGCACATAAAGCATTTTGGTTTTGTCTCTTAAGCTGCCTTTCCCTTCTGCATATAGAGTTGTAATACCTTAGGCTTTGAAGGGTTCAGTAAACCTGGAGGGCTCAGAGACTGCTATTAGTTCATAGGATGTGGGAGAGTAAAATTTCAGAGGTGGGGGGTCTTGAAAACATGCCAGATTAAGCTGATGTTGACAAATCTCATTTCTACTAAAACACATAGAAATTACAGATAAATATGCAAGTAAAAACCCCTTCAAGACACAAACCAACACTTAAAAAAAGACATGGGAATACTCTGGTATGAGAAACAAATAAGCTCAGAGCAAGAATTGGAAGCCATAGCTGATTATATGTAATCCTCCATGGGGTTTTCAATCAGGGATTAGTTAGATACTAAGTGTGGGAGCATGGCCTGCCTATCCCCTTTGGTACAGGAGTATGATCACAGATTTACATGAAGCATGGAAAGTAATAATCTCTGTATAAAAAACTGGAAGTGTCCTATGCATGAAAATAGTACTGAGAAAAATTTAGCTGTACAAATTAGAACAAAAGTATAGAATTCACAGAAAATATGATTGTCTACAAAAAACCCAAGGAAATCTAGATAAACTAACAGATATCAAGAAGTTTGCTAAAACGAATGTGCTAAAACAATACTATTCTTATACCTAGGTTAAAACCAATTCAGAAAATATAATTACAAAAGAGTTCTTATTCAAAACAGCAATAGAAAAATTTGAGGAATCTGGAAATAATTCTAACAAAACATATCCAAACTACTTTCAAAATTAGTAAACTTAACAAAGAACAAAAAAATGGGGATATCCAGAATGTCAATGGAGAGAGCTTTAATATGAAAATGTCTGTTCTCTTCCAGTTAATCTCTGTATTCAATGCAATCCGAATCGAAATATCACGGGTTTTTATTAAAATATAGACTACAGCAAACTGATCCAAAAATTTATGTAGGTCAAGAAGGAGCCAAGACAATTTGGGGAAAGAAGAAAAGAAGAAAGTATTGTTCCATCAGATTGTACTTGAAACATTTGCTAAGTAGAGGTAGGGAATGACAAATAGACCAATGTAATAGCATGGAGGAATAAGACAGAGATACAGTGTTTATTATAAGGTGGTATATGATAGGGGTTGGTGTAGATATAAGCAGAGAAAAGGATGGATTGACTATTTTGCAAAGACACATGAGAAAAATGGTTACCTAGATATAAAAAACAGTACAGAAAATAATTCCTAAAAGATTAATTGTGGAATGCAACACCTCAAAAATTTAGAGAAAAATATGTTGATAAAGTCTAAAAACACAGCAGAAAATAATGGCAACAGACTTGTTATTTTTCTTGTCTAGGTAACCAATTTCTTATGACACTGCTGAATAGTCAGGTAATCCTTTATCCTGCCTATTTTAAACTAAACTATGTCATATGTTGCTTTTTATTGGCTGCTTAATCAGTGTCTGGGCTCCTACTTTGTTGAATAGATAACTTGTAAAACAGACATTAGTATGCTCAGTAAGCAAAATAAAAAGAAGATCTTTAAATTAAAAATGAAATTTAACTTAGTATTCTCATCCAAGAGTACACAAAATATAAAACTCTTGACATTTCAGGTGTTGGAAAGAAATTAAGAAATTAACATTAGCATTTGGCAAACAACTGGCACATATACATGAAAGCTATAATTTATACTCCTTGCACTTAGAAATTATGCTTTCTGATGATCCTAGAGAAATCTTAGCACATGAACACAAAGAGACACAAACAGGGATGTATTGGCACACAGGAAACTTAGAAATGGCCTACCATTGAGGGAATGGATAAGGAAATTGTGCTACTTTCTTAATGAATTTTAACATAAAGTAATGCATTGGTATATAGCAACAGTGTAAATATTGAATAGGAGTATACTCCCACCCATAGATTAGTGGCTATCTTGGGACTAAGAGGTAGAAAAATAAGATTTTTGGATAGAACAAAGAGAATTTCATGTGTATCTGTAACATTTATTTTATAGGTATTTCAGCAGGTTCATAAGTGACTAATGATTAATGGTCAGGCAATGGATTACCATATCTCTGTGAAGGACCCACTGCCAGGCTCCGTGGTGCTTGAGAGTATGCAGTGTCATTGTAGCTTTTCCCTAAGACCATGAATTTCGGTGAGTCGTATGTCCATAACGCATGCACATATACACTTTACTCCAGGAGGTAGACAGAGTTTAGGACTGAGGTAATCTAGTCCCAACTGCCTCTTCCTTGTTAGTGTTCATGGATAAAGGAGAAGTGTGGTCAGACAAGGGTTTTCACTTATTCCTGTTTTTGTCTTGGATGCCTTTGAGGACTTAGTTCTGGATTCAGGCAGATTTTGTGCCTTAGTTTCCTTGCTGCCTCCTGTGACTTTTGTCAAATTTCATTTTGTCTGTGAAAATTAAAAATGACATAACAATTCTACTCACCTGTGTGAGCTTTGTGAGGGTCAAAGGAAGGAATCTCTTGGTGCCATTAGTGGCCCCATACTGCTTGATGTTGCTGTCATGAAAACCCTACTCGTTATTTACAGCCCCACCTGTGAAGTCAGCTCAGCTGCTATCAAAAACAGTCCTGTTCCTGTAAATGTCACTCCTCTTCCACATATGGGAAGTGTGCAGGCAGCTTGTCTAGCACATGCTAGCATTTCTTTTGGGGGACATGTAATCTTGGGTGCAGCATCCTGGTGCTGTGTGGCTTAGGTGAATAAGACGGACCCCATATGCCTTAGAAAGAGAGACCCCAATTTCTGACTAACTATGTATATGAAGGGGCAGAAGAGTTGTCTTGAATGGAGTCTAGAATGAGGAGTCTGGTGTTCCCCTAAAGGGAGCTGGGTGAGTCCTTGGGATAGAGAAGATCAGAATTTGTCAGCAGTTTTTATAAAGTCTCCTGACTATGAGTCTCCAAGTCTTCTTTAAGTTCAAAGTCAGATAATTGTTAAGACTCAATGGGGAAACTCCTCTGGATGTGCCTGGAGGGACACAGGGCCTCTCAAGAGTAACTTAGAATTTCCTGGAGAGTGTGTCTCCAGGGTCCAAGCTCTGTGCTGACCTATTCCATATTCTTTGCTTGTATGTGATCTCCTCTCCTCTGCTGTTCAGCAAACTTGCACA